CTTATAATAATGCCAATAATGGCAATGTCTCGGAAGGAGAGATATACTTATAATAATGCCAATAATGGCAATGTCTCGGAAGGAGAGATATACTTATAATAATGCCAATAATGGCAATGTCTCGGAAGGAGAGATATACTTATAATAATGCCAATAATGGCAATGTCTCGGAAGGAGAGATATACTTATAATAATGCCAATAATGGCAATGTCTCGGAAGGAGAGATATACTTATAATAATGCCAATAATGGCAATGTCTCGGAAGGAGAGATATACTTATAATAATGCCAATAATGGCAATGTCTCGGAAGGAGAGATATACTTATAATAATGCCAATAATGGCAATGTCTCGGAAGGAGAGATATACTTATAATAATGCCAATAATGGCAATGTCTCGGAAGGAGAGATATACTTATAATAATGCCAATAATGGCAATGTCTCGGAAGGAGAGATATACTTATAATAATGCCAATAATGGCAATGTCTCGGAAGGAGAGATATACTTATAATAATGCCAATAATGGCAATGTCTCGGAAGGAGAGATATACTTATAATAATGCCAATAATGGCAATGTCTCGGAAGGAGAGATATACTTATAATAATGCCAATAATGGCAATGTCTCGGAAGGAGAGATATACTTATAATAATGCCAATAATGGCAATGTCTCGGAAGGAGAGATATACTTATAATAATGCCAATAATGGCAATGTCTCGGAAGGAGAGATATACTTATAATAATGCCAATAATGGCAATGTCTCGGAAGGAGAGATATACTTATAATAATGCCAATAATGGCAATGTCTCGGAAGGAGAGATATACTTATAATAATGCCAATAATGGCAATGTCTCGGAAGGAGAGATATACTTATAATAATGCCAATAATGGCAATGTCTCGGAAGGAGAGATATACTTATAATAATGCCAATAATGGCAATGTCTCGGAAGGAGAGATATACTTATAATAATGCCAATAATGGCAATGTCTCGGAAGGAGAGATATACTTATAATAATGCCAATAATGGCAATGTCTCGGAAGGAGAGATATACTTATAATAATGCCAATAATGGCAATGTCTCGGAAGGAGAGATATACTTATAATAATGCCAATAATGGCAATGTCTCGGAAGGAGAGATATACTTATAATAATGCCAATAATGGCAATGTCTCGGAAGGAGAGATATACTTATAATAATGCCAATAATGGCAATGTCTCGGAAGGAGAGATATACTTATAATAATGCCAATAATGGCAATGTCTCGGAAGGAGAGATATACTTATAATAATGCCAATAATGGCAATGTCTCGGAAGGAGAGATATACTTATAATAATGCCAATAATGGCAATGTCTCGGAAGGAGAGATATACTTATAATAATGCCAATAATGGCAATGTCTCGGAAGGAGAGATATACTTATAATAATGCCAATAATGGCAATGTCTCGGAAGGAGAGATATACTTATAATAATGCCAATAATGGCAATGTCTCGGAAGGAGAGATATACTTATAATAATGCCAATAATGGCAATGTCTCGGAAGGAGAGATATACTTATAATAATGCCAATAATGGCAATGTCTCGGAAGGAGAGATATACTTATAATAATGCCAATAATGGCAATGTCTCGGAAGGAGAGATATACTTATAATAATGCCAATAATGGCAATGTCTCGGAAGGAGAGATATACTTATAATAATGCCAATAATGGCAATGTCTCGGAAGGAGAGATATACTTATAATAATGCCAATAATGGCAATGTCTCGGAAGGAGAGATATACTTATAATAATGCCAATAATGGCAATGTCTCGGAAGGAGAGATATACTTATAATAATGCCAATAATGGCAATGTCTCGGAAGGAGAGATATACTTATAATAATGCCAATAATGGCAATGTCTCGGAAGGAGAGATATACTTATAATAATGCCAATAATGGCAATGTCTCGGAAGGAGAGATATACTTATAATAATGCCAATAATGGCAATGTCTCGGAAGGAGAGATATACTTATAATAATGCCAATAATGGCAATGTCTCGGAAGGAGAGATATACTTATAATAATGCCAATAATGGCAATGTCTCGGAAGGAGAGATATACTTATTGTGGCATACGTTTGCTTTTTTTTTTGTGAGCTGAAAGCTGGTCGACGTATTAGTAATGCCCTGCGGAAACGCTTTAAAGACCAGATAAGGCGACTACTTGCTGGTTGCATACGGCCTCAGAACGTGACAGCTGGATGTCACTCACAAAAGCCACGGTATACACTTTTGAGACCAAAAGAAAACCCCCTCCTGAGGTCGAGGACAGACGTAGATTCAGCGAAAAGAAAGTCTAAATCGACCACCGGCGGAGTATCATTATGCCTGCTCAAGACTTGGCAAAATATGTAGGTCACAGCTGGGACTGCGTAGCCAGGGGAAATACCGCATTTTTCATTAATCTTCGTACTCGAAAACAAGCCTTATTATTATTATTATTTTATTATTATTTGTATTATATTTATACTATATTTATACTATAGCTATACTAAATCAAGATCTAGATCTATCGAGAATCTATTTTTTCTCTGTGTTTACCAAAAATTGAAATCTTTCTCCAACGTTAAATATTTGGCTTGAAGAAGAAAAGAAAACCTCTTTAGTTGTCTCTATCTGTCATGGTTTACTGAGAGAGAAACTTTGTGAAAACTGAAGGTATTCTAGACTCTAGTTATTGCTAGCGTTGTGTTTGTATAGTTTATAAACCAGAAACTAAGCAATGTTCAATGTTCAGCACTTGTGTCAAACGATGCTCGGTATGCAGGAGTAGGTAGGACTCAGATATGTGAAAAGCAGAGTGTTGACAATGTTGGAGCTAAACAAGCTTTGCTCATTTCTTTACATTGACATTGAGAAACTTCACTAGTTTCATTGTTTACTTTCTCTGTGACAACGAGCACAACAAAGAGAAGATAATTTTATTGGTCCAAACATATGGACATTCAGTCTGACTACAATTGTCCACATAACCATTACTACTAAAACAATAACAATATAGACGCCAACACCATTCTCATAAGACATGTCATATATTCTTTCTCTTTCTCTCTCTCACACGCACACACACACGACGATGACCAAAGGTTCTCCATTCGTCCCAGTCAAAAGTCTATTTGTTTGTTAATACACAATTATGTGAGAGCTGAATTTTCTTAGGCAATATTGTAGACATACTTAATGATTTAGGTTCTATAACTTCAAATGTTTTTCGCATTTTCATTTTACATATTATGTCCCTTAGATAACAAATGGTATAAAATAATGGATTAATATTCTATATTATTTTACCATCAGCTTTGCTGTTCTTCTTTGGACACAAAATTAGACAAGAGTGATGCACCAGAAATTGCCTTCAGGATAGAAGACTTAAAAGTAAAGTAGCAATTATACATAAAACACTGAACCATAATCTTCAAATACAAAAACAAAATTTAATAAAATACACAGAAAGACACAAAGATAAAGGTACATTCCTTGTTCCATATGCTAGGACAAATTTGTACAAATGCTCCTTCTTCCCTAGCTCTATTAGAGCATGGAATGGGTTGCCTGAGCTAGCCAGGAAAACCAGTGACTTGGCAGAATTTAGGTCATTGGTTAATATGCATAATTAAATGCATGACGCGTAGGACGTAATCATCTTCTTTTTTGAAGTAACGTCTGTATTCTATAAGATAAGATAAGATAAGAACTATAAGTGTTGAGGAAGGGAGGGAAACAATGTGTATAGACTAAACTAAAAGGGAAGTTAACAAGAAAATTCATATTGCAGACTCTATTCATTATTGTCAAATTGTATAAGGAATGTAGCTTCAAGTCACTGAGAGGCCTGAGAACTTTGCTTTAGTCACTGCATGTTCTGAAGCTTAGTCTGGGCAATACTGTTATCTTGAGCCCGTGAAAATTCCTACTACTTAGGGTCTTCAGATAGCTGAACTCTTGTTTAGCGGCCTAGGTTTTAAAAGAAAAGACATCAGGGTTACAAGTTCAAGGTCATAAATTGTCCACATTGTCATCATTTATAGGTACTAAATGTCAAGTGTGGATGAAAACTTTGTAGAATCAGGCACTGAATGCTATAGTCTATGCTGTATGTAAGGAAATATTCGTTGCACTAGATAGTCCCATCGTGTTCTTGTCTGTGCTGTAAACATGTTACATATCATAAATTGTGTGTGTGTGTGTGTGTCTTAGGAAACATTCTTCTTTCTGCTTCCAAGCTGTAAACATGTTCGATGGTTTGAAATGTATATTGATCACGTGTAAACTATTTGCAAAACAAAATCGAAAAGCATAAAACTGAACCACTGGGAAGCATCAGAACACTAACAGTTATTGTCTTGGTCCAAAATATTGGCACTGGACATTTTTTAAAAAGTAAAACAGTATAGTACTTGTTAGAAGTGAAGTTATGTAGTAACTATTCATAGTATGTTCTATTTAGTTTGTCTTAGTTTTTCTATACGTTTATTATTAAGTAGGCTACATTCTTTTAATATTTGTTATTACTATGCGTTGTTTCTTTAAAAGGAAAAGGGGTGAAGGGGTGCCATGCACCTGACCCAAAGCCTCCTAATTGTAAAGGTGTTTCCTCTCTGCGTTTCTGTTATCTTTTGGTATAAATGTTGCAATTTCAACTTGACATCTTATTCTCTATAAACGTAGTAATACTTCACATTTGAACATGCCTTGAAACACAACGGGGACACTTGTACAAGTCAAACTAACAACAACAACAAAAGAGACAGACAAATTATACATAAATTACACAGCACAATTAATTTACACAATATTAACAAATAGGCAATGAATGGCAAAGAGTTACAGAGCAGGACACACACAAGAGCAGGACATAGGCCTACACAATGAGCAGGACATAAACAACGAGCAGGACATGCAACGAAAAGGATCCACCAGTACATCGACTACAAAGTGAAGACCAGTTCTTTGTTAAACTTTGATTTTATTTTCTAATACCAACATTTTCCTAACAGATGATTGACTATAGTTCTAATATTCGACTGCTTATGGCATTACAATGATAACAAAGCCAATATTAAAAAATGGTCATATTAGTAACAACATACTTAAACAGAGTTCTATGTGAGTTTCTCTACCTATAGGCCTAATTGTAGTCACACACTGCTGGACTTGCCTTTCACCCAGTTATAATACTACACATCGAAATAGATCTAGTCAGTTCTAACAAGAAATGTCCTTCTAGTCAGTTCTAACAAGAAATGTCCTTCTAGTCAGTTCTAACAAGAAATGTTCTTCTAGTCATTTCTAACAAGAAATGTCCTTCTAGTCAGTTCTAACATGAAATGTCCTTCTAATCAGTTCTAACATGAAATGTCCTTCTAGTCAGTTCTAACAAGAAATGTCCTTCTAGTAAGTTCTAACATGAAATGTCCTTCTAGTCAGTTCTAACAAGAAATGTTCTTCTAGTCAGTTCTAACAAGAAATGTCCTTCTAGTAAGTTCTAACATGAAATGTCCTTCTAGTCAGTTCTAACAAGAAATGTTCTTCTAGTCAGTTCTAACAAGAAATGTCCTTCTAGTCAGTTCTAACAAGAAATGTCCTCTAGTCAGTTCTAACAAGAAATGTCCTTCTAGTCAGTTCTAACATTAAAAGTGTCCTCTAGTCAATTCTAACATGAAATGTTCTTCTTAAAACCACAAACTGCATGTAAACTATTTGTAAATAAACATTTCTGACAAAATGAAATACATGGAAGGGAGGATTTTAACTTTTATGATCTCTGTGCTGATTGATATATCACTAGACAATGAAAAAAGTTTACTGGTCTATAAGTCTATATCAAAAGCACACAGACTGCATGTTGTCATTAGGAGATTCTACTAAAAGGCTAGTGTGTCTCACAGCCAGCTCTGACCTTTAGTGGCACTATGACAGGTCAAGTAATTTAGGTCATGAAGTTATATAGGACTTAAGAGTTTCTAGTCTCACTACGTTTTGTTTTGATTTGTATCTTTCAAAAACATCCATCAAAACAATTAGGACTGAAAGAAATTATTGAAAGAATATTTTTAAATGTTTCAATGTTGTTTGGCGTGAACACACTTCTGGCAGTCAAATAAAAAGATGAACTTCATGAATTGACATTGACAACTAAATGAAACAATAAACTTGAATAAGTGCGAAGGTGGTATCATAGAAACCAACATAGAAAAACTTAGTAAAAAACATTATATGAATAAATACATATAATTGACTGCAGTTTTCATTGTATGTTATTTCAAAGCAACTAGATCAGGACCATTGTGATAGACTGGGCAACTCATTGATCAAGTCAGTGCCACCAATAGATACAGTCTTCTTTTGACTTCAATATTAAATAGTCACAGATGGCTGCCTGGTCGTGCGGTTTGCGCGCTGGATTGTCGTTCAGATTTATCAATGGTCCAGGGTTCAAACCCTGCCCGCTCACATCCTACGGGAGGTTTGGACTAGGAAGTAATTATCTTCAACTCTGAAGGAACATCCAAAACATGTAAAACATTTTACAAACAAACATTTTTACAATAAATAGATGTTCAGTATTTACACAATAAATGTACATTGAATCTATATCACAGATTTTATATTCACACAAACAAGCATTAATTAGTATGAACATCCAGGCCGAACTAAAATAAATATCAAATGTTTTTTAACAAAACATTTCTTCAAACATTCTACTGACATAAAATCAAAACAATGTTGATAGCAATAAGTATTTTTTGTTATATATTTACAGGGCTTTTTTTGTGACGGTACGTACCGGTACTGCGTACCGGCACCTTTTTGAAAAAGTTATTATTTTTCTTGTATTTTAACGTATATTATTAATTTTTAGTAGTTAAAAGTTAGGCATTCAACTACTGAGTACTGGCACCTAATCACTGGGTACCGGCACCTATTTTTTTTTAAAAAAAGCACTGTATATTTATGTTTGAAAATAATGTTCTTTTCAAGCCCCTACTTTTGTTTACTCAGAAGCTCTCTGTTAATATGACAATGAATATCTATCTTTGGCATAGGAGAAAAAGTGAAAGAAAAAAAAGCTCATTTACAAATTCAAAAAAGACTTTTTAACACATCCCTTGTATTAATGACCTCAACTGGAATGTGCTAGATGTGCAACGCAGTAATGATAAACAAAATATTTACACTATAAATTTAAATTGCTACTAGTTCTAAATGTTACAGTCAAACATTTAATAACAACACGCATTTCAAAAAAATTCAGAAACATTTTTTGTTTTAGCTTTTAAAAAGTGCTACATAACTCAAATGGAGGTAACTCTAGCTAAGACGTGTGTACATTTAAATTGCTTCATGTTTCTGTTATATACAAAAAGCACTAATACAAAACTGTGAGAGATCTATTTACATATTGCACACATATATAGAGTGTTAATGTCAACCAAAACAAACTTAGCTTCATATCACATCAAGATAGAAAGTCTGACAAGATTTCCATTCAAAGAATGCAGACTGAAGAGTTAACACATGAACACATTGTAAGTTAATGGATAGATGAATGTAAGTAACAGTTCATAGTACAGACTACAGAAGTCAGTGTAAGTGAAGTGTATAAATGTAAATCTAATGTATTTGCACAAAGACATGTCATTTTGTATATTATACAAGTCATAAGCAGCTAGTTCAATGTTATTTCTTCGTTTTTTCACATGTTCATATGGTCTAACAGAAAACTTTTTAAAATTTTTAATTCTCTTTCTCTTTAATTTAATTTTTTTAAAAATCATTATTTTCTAAAAGAATTTAATGAAGGAAACTCTTATGATAAATGGAAAGCCATGTCCCAATGATTTAAAATATTTAGAAAAATGGAAAACTTGTATAGATATAAAGGCAACTGAAATACATTTTCCTAATGGAAACTACTGGTCCCAGACATCACATTACAATGAGCTTCTTTTAAATATAGAGATTTATAAATAATAATGATCAATGTACAGAGATAGAATCACATAACTAAACATATCACTATGTAAGGTAAACAACCAATTGAGATAAGTAACAGGAGAGACAACTCTTCATTGATTTCAAAACACATTTCCTAGGAGTGTCACAGTTAGTGTTCTTATTGCTCCTTGAGTGACTTGGAAATGTTGATCTATATTGCTTTGAGACTTTCTGTCACCCATTTATCCTTCATGGTAGAACAAGGCAGAAAACATTAAAGCTTCTTCAGGACTTTGTGTAAACTACAGTCAGCACTAGTAAATTCAGTTATCCAAATATTTGTTCCAAGGCTGCATAGTAATAAATAAGAAATATCAATCTAACAGTTGAAATTGTGAATGTCTGACTAGGCTAAGAGTTGGGAAGGGGGGTATTATTATCTTCTGGACAGCTGTTCTGGGTCATAACGACATAGTTCTGCCATCTGGAGGAGACTTGACTCTAGAGAGTGGGCAAACATTTCTGACGATGTGTCTATGCAGGAATTGAATGTAGCAACACTGAAGTAGATATGGTCAGGTTTTGGATTATAACAACAACCATAGCCATCTGGAACAACAGCACCATAGCCCATCCAATAATCAGACACTGTTGGCACCTGGAGAATATAGTGAAATAAATGTTCAACTGTAGTCACTGGAAAAAAAATGATATAATCTACACTTCACTAAAGAGAATTGGTTAACCTGATCTTGTCTGTATGAGTAATGTACTAAGTGGCTAATGGAAACTTTAAATGTACTAAGTGGCTAGTGGAAACTTTAAATGTACTAAGTGGCTAGTGGAAACTTTAAATGTACTAAGTGCTTAGACCAACCTGGCTAGTGGAAACTCTAAATGTATTGAGTTCTTTGTAAGATGGATCTTTGAAAACTTCTGGAGTTGGAATTCCCAATTCATTTGCTGCTTCTCTTAAACCCAGAAGATGAAGGTCTATGCCATGACCCAATATAGTCTGAAACAACAGAAAATGACTTTAAATCATTTGTATAAATTATTTTTTTATGAAAAATCTTCAACTTTATCATCAAGAAATATAAAAAACTCCTCAGTGGGTGTTAGAACTGTCAGTTCCTTACTTGCAACATATAGTCTTGTTGCCACTGGATTGCTTCAGTCAGTAAATGAAGCTTCTCTTCTTCCTGAAAGTAGAAAATGTTTTGTTCATGATGAAATCCATTGAGTGCAGTATGTAATATATTGAAAGTAAATACATCACTATGATTCACAGATTCTAAAGTGTTCATAATCTTACCGTTGCTTCTGTCTGGCCCAACATGGCCTTGACCCATGCCAAAGCTGCTGGAGAATTGGCTCGGATGACATCTACACGACCTTGTCTATATCGTCTGACAGAGGCACTCTCATAAGTTGAGGTTAAACATCCATGGATTCTGAACAAAAAAAAATTATTTATATATTTATTATTTGAGAGAAATCAATTCTGGAATACAAATGTAATGTTAAAGTAATAAAGTATGATAATAATAATAGTTTCATTTCTATAGAGATCTCAACAAATAGAATATAGGTTCCAGACTATTTGAGAATACAACTGACATACTAACTCACAGCCATAAAGGCAAAACTCTTCATTTCATCCCTTACTTGTAATATGTAAGCTGTAAAGCCAACTGGATGTAAGCATCTGGACTCATATTTTGACTTTTGACAAACTCTCGCCCATAGCTGTTAAACTTGAAGACTGTCAGGTCAAAGTCTTCCACCATACTGAAGAGAACAAAAAAAAATATTTTGATGGGGAAAGAAATGTAAGGAATAAATTAGGTTGACCTTAAAAAAGAAATAAACATTATTTTTACATTTCTGGCATGTTGCTCTAGCCAACAAAAATAGATTTTGGCAACAGTCGGGCATTGGAGAAAACAAAAAAACACTTGAAGTCAATATTTAACAGAACAAAGTAGCGGATAAAAAAAATATTAAAATAAATGATGCAATATTTACAAATACATTTTCTTGAAATAAACATTTTAAAAGGGGACTGAACTCGTTCGTGTGATTATTGATTGGATTTAATTCTCTAGTCTGTGAGCCCAATTACAACACGAGCTTTTATTTTCTTATTCAACACAATTATCTGAATTTAAATTCTCCCTCCCCACCCCACCCCCACTCGAGATCTTCCCATCCCACTCGTCACACACAGCCAACACAAGAGTCAATGCTGAATAAATTAGTCATTCGATGGGCAGATAA